CCTCCCCAGGGAGCCTCCTTTGACTCACCCCATCTGGTTCTCTCCAGCTCTGCTCTCCGGCCACCCTCACACCCCGCCACACCTCCACCTCCGCCTGCAGCTGGCAGGGCCCTCCCCTCATTTCTTTGCTGACTGCATCTCGCACCTGGATCCTGTGTGTGTGTGTGTGTGTGTGTGTGTGTACAGTCAGAACCTTTCTTTTCCTTTTCTTCTTATTTTGTTTTGCTTCCTCGGCCACACCCATCAGTGCTCGGGGCTTATTTAAGTCTCTGCTCTCAGAAATCACTCCTGGTGGGCTTGGGGGACCACATGAGTGTTGGGGATCAAACTGGGGTCGGCCACATGAAGGCAAGTGTCGTCCCTGCTGTACTACAGCTCCAGCCCCTCAGAACCTGTATCGACCAGGCTTGGGTGTGTGTACATGTGCGCGTGAATGTGTGTGTATGTCCATGTGCAGTGTTTGTACATGTGCACATAAATGTGTGTTCACGTGCAGTGTGTTTATGTGTGCACATGAATGTCTGTGTTCACTTGCAGTGTTCACACACATTGTCTCCTACACAACCAGAACCAAAGGGTGTGTTTTATGGAGTCACTTTTATGGGGAGGTTGGGGCCTCACCCAGCTGTGCTCAGGGCTTACTCCTGGCTCTGTGCTCACTCCTGGGGGCTCAGGTTGCCTATGTGGTGCTAGAGATCAAAACCAGGTCTCAGCACAGAGACCCAGCGACACAGAAACTCAGCAGAGCTGGGGAGTGACGTCATAGCCAGCAGGAGGCAGTCAGTGCAGGTCCAAGCCCCCCAGTTTTAATTTTGAGGGGTTTTTAGGCTACCCTGGCAGTGCTCAGAGCTTTTTCCGGGCTCTGTACCCAGGGATCACTCTCGGCAATGCTCAGGGGACATATTTGGTGCTGGGGGATCCAACCCAGACTAGCCACATGTAAAGCAAGCATGCTATGCCCTGTACTATCTCTCCAGCCCTTGTTCATTTTGGAATATTAGTCCATTGATTTTTTTTCTTTTTAAAGAATCCTTGAAATACTGAATGCTCAAAACAAGGAATTTAGGAACAACTTTGTAAACCACAGTAAAGTTGATGGAAAGTTAGAAACAAACATGTTTGTTAGCACGTCTGTGGACAACTTCCACTTTATCTCAGCTTACGAAGAGCCGCTCAGGCCCACCTCACTCACGATGGGGGATTCCCAGGGAGAACACTGAGGAATTCCAGGAAACAGGGAAGCTGCAGAGGGAGAGTCCCTAGGGTGCACTCTTTGGGGTAGAGGGGCACCTTTGGCAAGGCGCTCACCAGCATCCAACAGCCCCAGTCTTCCCCAGGTCCCCTTGCACCCTGTCTCTCAGAGGCCTCCTCAGATGGAAGCCTGGGGGCGGGGCTTGGGCAGTCTGGGCAGGTCCAGATCAAATGGGCAAACTTGACCTTTCATCACTTGAACATCTGCCTCCACCTAGTGGTTTTGGGCTTTCTGTCTGCCCTGGCTGAATCAAGGAAGCTACAGTCCTGCTCGGGGCTGTCCTCACAGGAACTGGGCAATTACTGAGCACCTACTGTGTACTCCAGACCAGCATGAGGCTGTCCTTTCAGATACTGAGCAATCACAGGCACCGACTGTGTGCTCTGGGCCTCCGGAAGGCAATCCCAGCAGACCTTGAGTCTGGGAGTGGACACCTGTTGTGCATCTTAGGTCACTGGCCAGTTAACTGATCTCCTACCATATTTTGGACCTGCAGGGGGTGTCTTCTCAGGCACTGGGCATGTATTGAGCACCTGCTGTGTGCGAAGTACTCCCTGAGGAAGGGGCATTTTCTCTGCCTACTTTACACCTACTCTACCAATTTAGGGGTTTCCTGCTGGGGCACATGACTGACCTGGGAGCTGAGGATAAGGTGTCCGACTGTGGCATGAAAGCTCAGGATTGCTAAGGTCATCTCGAAGGTCTCTCCCTGGGTTGAAAGTCTGTGAGGCACTATGAGGAGTGGTTAAGTGTTCACCTTCGAGGAGCAGAGATGTCGTTCAGCAGTAGAATGCTTGCCTTGTCATTGTGCGACCCTAGTTTGAATATCTAGCACTACAAAGTAAAAGAAAGAAAGAAAGAAAGAAAGAGAGAAAGAAATAAAGAAAGAGAGGAAGGAAGGAAGGACGAAAGAAAGAAAGAAAGAAAGAAAGAAAGAAAGAAAGAAAGAAGCTTTTAAAAAAATCAACAGTTCAGCTTGATTTCTGCAGATAAAGCTGCATGTGGATCCCACCTGTTCACTAGCTCTGTGTCCTGGGGCAAGTTACTTTACCTCTCTGAACCTGGGTTATTGATAAAAGATCCAGTTTGATCTTTCTATGGTCAGCACAAGGCAGGCACTTAGAGAGCCAACCGTAAGGATTAGCAGATGCTGATGGCTCTATTTCTAAACCCCAAAGCTTCCAGTGTCTCTCTTTGGGGATATTCTGCCCCATTATGTCCCTGTGCAAAGAGAGAAGCAGATCTGGGGACTCTTATTCCCCCCCTCAAATAATTGGGACCCCTCTGGGGACAGTGTGGCCCTCCTGGTCAGGAAGCCTGGGAAAGTCACTTGACCCCACTCTGCTCCCACATGCCCTGGTTCATGTCTTTGCCTTGTGGGAGATTTTCCCCTCCGGACACACCCATCCCTCCCTTGCCTGCACCCCGACCCCTGAGCAGGGAGAGTTCCTCTGCTTGTCCCGAGATCCAGAGATGGAGATGAGACAGAGACAGCTACAGCTTTGGGTTTGTCTGCTCCTTTTGTTTTCGTAATGTTTGGCTACCCCTGGAGGTACGTGGGGGCCCCTCCCAGCTCTCTGCTCAGAAACTACTTGTGTGATTCTGGGGCTGCCCCCGTGGTCTCCTGCCCAGGGAGCCAGCCCTCAGGCCTTGAGCATCCCCTGATTGTGCCCCTCCCTCACCCGGTTTACTCCTTGCACTGGTGAGCGCATCTTCCTCTGGCTGCGTGAATGGTGCTGCTCACCCTCACGCCTCCCACCAGGCCAGCAGACTGACCTCGCGTCACTGGCCCCCTTCACCCCCACGTCCAGCTGGAGCCTGCATCCTGAGCTGCGGATCGTTCTTTCCACATGCTAGCCATGTGGCCGTGATTCGTGGTACACCACGCGTGCTGACCAGAGGCTCTCCCTCCCTGCACCCCGCGCAGCTCACGGGTCCCCCATCCTGGACTGAGCCTTGACTTTTTCCTCCCATGTCTGTCCATGCCCTGTGAGGCCAAGGGATCCTGTTACCCCCACCCGCCCAAACCCCGCTCCAGGTCCTCCTGCTCTGCTGCAGTGACCGCAGTCCCCTCTCAGCTTCCTTGACAGCTTTTCAGGCACAACCCTGACTGTCCTGCTCTTGCTCCTCTCTTCTGCCTGGAACCCCCTCTCCCTTTACCCCCACATATCCTTTCCGGTTGTTTGTGTGCGAGCAGGAAGTCACTTCCGAATCCCTTCAAATACCACCTTCTCTGGGAGGCCTCCCAGTTGCCCACAGTTTCCTTGGGAAGAAAGGCTCCATCACTCGCTCACTATGCATGCACAAACATGCACGCATGCACACACCACACACAGATGCACATACATGCATGTGCACACATATACACATGCACACACGTGCACTCATATGCACGCATACATGCACACATGCACTCACGCACACAGCACATACACATGTGCATTTATGCACACACACGCACACGCATTCACACATACACACATGCGTGCACATGTGCACACACAGCACATGCACACACATGTGCGCGTGCACATGTACACAGCATATACACACGTGCATGTATTCATACATGCACACACAGGTGTGCACATGCATGCATACACACCACACCGATGTGTGCACATGTATGCACACAATGCATGCATGCATACCTGCACACACAGCACACACATGTGCACACATATGTCTACCCTCAACTTATATCCCTCTCGTGGAAGAGGAGCAGCCTCTCCTCTGTCCTCATCTCTCAGGATGGAGAACTCCTTGGGCTCTCAATGTGGAGGGTCTTTCAGGCGGCAGGAAAGGTCTCTCATTGCCCACATTCATCCATCTTGCCCTAGCCAGCAGGTGGGGTTGCCAGGCTTGCATTGCTGCTGCTTGCTGTGGGCTTTGTGTGTTTAGGAGGAGGCCGTGGACTCATGCCTGCTGAAAACATGGTCCAGTGAGAGGTTTGGAATCAGGGCCGGGCCTGCATCTTGCTCTGCTGTGTCTAAGCAATGGGTTTGCCTTATACACAGCTGACTCAGGTTGGATCCCCAGCATTCCATATGGTCCTCCGAGCACAGCCAAGAGTGATCCCTGAGTGCAGAGACAGGCGTAAGCCCTGAACACTCCCAGGTGTGCTCCCCCCCCCCCCCAAACACAACAGAAGTAAATTCCTAACACAGAGGAGAGATATGGAGAGGAGAGGAGAGGAATGGAGAGGAGAGGAATGGAGAGGAGAGGAGAGGAGAGGAGAGGAGAGGAGAGGAGAGGAGAGGAGAGGAGAGGAGAGGAGAGGAGAGGAGAGGAGAGGAGAGGAGAGGAGAGGAGAGGAGAGGAGAGGAGAGGAATGGAGAGGAGAGGAGAGGAGAGGAGAGGAGAGGAGAGGAGAGGAGAGGAGAGGAGAGGAGAGGAGCAATCTGCTAAGCACTGGGGCCTCTGAGTTTAATGGAGGCCGAGGCTGGCCAGGGTCATTTTGAACGGGAGTTGCTGGAACACAGCCCCTGAGGTGGACTCAGCAGGGGGGCCCTTCGTTCTGGTCAGCTCCTCCCTCCCTGGGGACCCCAGGCAGTCATGTCCCCTCTGGTGGTGGCTGCCCTTCCAGGGCCCCGCTGGTCTGACCTGTATGTCCGGGTACAAGGGCAGCAAAGAGTGCCTTGTCCAGCAGAGGGCCCTGCCCAGCCCGTGGCCGTGAGGAGGAGGGAGCCGCCTGGGTTCTCTGGAGCCGGCTGGCGATACCAGACGCCTGACAGGAGGCAGACTAGGCGACCAGCTGCCTCTCCTGCGTCCCGCACTCGGGGCCCCGCCGGCTGCTGCTCTCGTGGGCTCGCTTTCTCCCGCTCACCCGGCCATGCCGTGGCTGTGGCCGCTGACCATCTCTCTCGCTGTGCTGTTGGCTGTGGGGCTGAGTGGAGTCCCTGGGGCCCCCTCCCTGCTGGGGGGCAGGCACCGAGCCGCGTCTGAGGAGGGACAGCAGCGCCGGGCCAAGCGGGGCACCGAGGATGAGGAGGCCAAGGGGGTGCAGCAGTATGTACCCGAGGAGTGGGCTGAGTACCCCCGGCCCATCCACCCCGGTGGTCTGCAGCCCACCAAACCCCTGGTGGCCACCAGCCCCAACCCAGACAAGGAGAGGGGCACCCCGGGCGGCGGGCAGGAGCTGAGGGGCAACCTGACCGGGACGCAGGGCCAGTGGCTGCAGATTCGGAACCCGCTGTACCCGGTGACCGAGAGCTCCTATAGCGCCTACGCCATCATGCTCCTGGCCCTGGTGGTGTTCGCCGTGGGGATCGTGGGCAACCTGTCGGTCATGTGCATCGTGTGGCACAGCTACTACCTGAAGAGCGCCTGGAACTCCATCCTCGCCAGCCTGGCCCTCTGGGACTTCCTGGTGCTCTTCTTCTGCCTCCCGGTTGTCATCTTCAACGAGATCACCAAGCAGAGGCTGCTGGGGGACGTGTCGTGCCGGGCCGTGCCCTTCATGGAGGTAAGCGGACGCCCTGGTGTGGTCCACATCTGGGATGTGGGATGTGTGGGTCCCGGGCCCCTCTGTGGCATCTCTCAATCGAGCCAGGAGACACCCTCACAGTTGGTTCCCAGAGCTCGTGGTGACCGAGGCTGGCCCAGGGAGCGGGCGCTGGGCAGATGTGCTGCTTCCAGCCCCGTCTGCTCGGGAGCACACTCAAGACTGATTTCTGCCCCCGTCTCTGCACTCTGAGCCGTCCCTCCCCTCCCACGTTCCTCCTCTCTCCTTCAGGAAACTGCTCTGTCTTTTGTGTCTCTCCTTTTCTCCCCTGGTGCCCACTGCCCTTCCCTGTACTGCTCTCTCCTTACCCTTCCACCTCCTGCCGCCCTGAGCAGTGTCTGACGGGGAACCCCAGGTTCCTCCAGATCTCCATGGGGATCAAGTCTGTATTCACTCCCCAGTCATGTAAGCACCAGAAGGAAAGATGGTCCTTGTGTGTCTTCCTCGCTGTGATTCTTGTCATTGTCTCTGCCATCGTCAGCCATGATCCCCTACATCCTTCTCAGAGGGAAGACCTGGTTCTGGGCACCAGAGCTGAGGTTGGAGTGGGGCTGAGGTCAGCACTCTGGTCTCAGCTCTCACTGATGTTCTGACGTATCTTGCCTCCTATTTTCTTTAATTTTTTTGCTTCTTGGGTCACACCCGGCAATGTACAGGGGTTATTCCTGGCTTTACATGCAGGAATTATTTCTGGTGGTGCTCAGGGACCATATGGGGTGCTGGGAATTTAGCCCGGGTCGGCTGTGTGCAAGGCAAATGCTCTACCCGCTGTACTATCACTCCAGCCCCATCCTCCTATTTTCTTATGTCCCAACCAGGGGGTAGACCAGATGGCCCACCCAACTGAGCTGCTCTATAACTCCAAAATATACTACTGTCACCTCTGGCAATGTCCATGTTAGCACAAGCACATGGTGCCGTTGGGTGTATAGACCACCTTGGGAGAGCTTACGCAAAACTCGGCAAACATGTCTCAATAAGGGCCAGAGAGATGGTATAGAGGGTAAGGCATGCAGTTAACTCCTCAATACCACAAGGTCCCCCGAGGACAGCTGAGAATGACTCCTGGAGCAGAGAGTCTGGACCTCTAGTCAGCTAGTCGTGATCCCCGAAACCCTTCCCTAAAACATAAAACCTCAAAACATGTGTTTTTGTGCAAGCCATGAACAGGTTGTGGCAGTCTTGCCCTCCTGGGTTCCATAGGACTCAACTATGAGGACTGGAGTGCCTGGTCTCACCAGGGTCGCCGTGCCTCCTGAGAGTGGACAGTACTCAGTCCCAGGCAGGAATGGAACCAGGCTCAGCCTCTGGACTCCATCCTATTCCCATTTCTGTCCCCAGTGCTCTGTGGATTAGTGAAGATTTCATATTTTAACAGGCTCAGCAGTGAGTCTGACTTGTCCTGCCCTCCCCCCCTCCAGGGAGAGCACCCAAAGGTGCTTAGCGACAACTGGAGACCACCTTCTCTGAGCTGAGCTCAGAGCTGAAGGTGCTGGAACAGCTAGACCAGGGCCGGGCTAGATCTGATCACAAGTGGAGTGACCTGGATTGGTACTGAACTCGCGAAAATCTCAATCTGCACCCAGCAGCAGCAGCAGTGCCCATCTGCGTGAAGGTCCGAAGGATTAAACTCAGGAAGCACTTGGAATCGAGAAGCTTCCGTGGTTCTACTGTTTCGGGGTGGGGGAAGCACGAGCCCCGGTTTGCGTGTGGCTGGTAGGGCAAGGAAAGCAGGTCCTCCTGGCAGTGCTCTGGTGAAAACTCCCCTCAGCTGCCCTTCCAAACACCGGGGAGGGCGGAGGTGGGCCCCCAGCAGATGGGGTGGGATCTGGGGACCCAGCACGCTGTCCCAGAACTTTCTAGTGGGACAGTCACAGGACAACCCAGGAGAAGCCGGGAACGTGGCTGGGAAGGAAATGTGAGATGTTTTCCGAGTTGCGGGCAAGGAGAGAACATGGTGTTGCCTGCGGCACAAGCCTGCCAAGATGGGGCGGGTCTCAGAGAGGGCTCAGAGGCTGGACTGTGTCCCCAGCCAGAGGGAGAACCAGCGGCAGGGGGGCAGGGGCCCTGAGCACAGTTACTGAGTGCGGCTCCAGGGGGCTCACTTGCTTCCTCTGTTCCTGTGCGTTCTGGTGCGTCTCTCCCTGCAGCTGTCTGTCTCTGGGTTGGCAGGACTGACACTCCTCTGTGTGTCCAGTGGAGCCTGCAGGGCTGGGGGGCACAGGCTGCTCCCCTCACAGCCAGACCTGGACCTCTTCATGTGGGCCTGGGAGCAGCGTGAGGAGGGCAGGATGTGGGTGTGAGTGGGAGTGAGTTGGTGTGAGAGACTGGGGCGTGCAAGAGCGGGCTCATGTAACAGGGGTGTGAGACTGTGTCCGAATGCTGGGTGTGTGCATCAGTGAGAGTACATGAGTACGTGCATGCAGGTGTGAGTGTGCGCGGGTGTGAGGGTAAGAGTGTCAGTGAGCAAGAGAGAGTGTGTGAGAGCAAGCTCAGGTGAGTGTACAAAGGTATGTGAACTCAGGTCAGTGAGTGTATGAGTGTGTAAGTTTAAGGGTGTGTATGAGGCCAAGTGAGTGAGTGCCTGTGTGTGAGTGTGTGAGGGCCAGAGAGTGTCTGTGTGTGAGTGTGTGAGGGCCGGTGAGTATCCGTGTGTGAGTATGTGAGGGCTGGAGAGTGAGTGTGAGTATCTGTGTAAGTGTGTGAGGGCCAGTGAGTGAGTGTCCATGTGTGAGTGTGTGAGAGCCGGATAGTGAGTATCCGTGTGTGAGTGTGTGAGGGTCAGTGAGTAACTGTCTATGTGTGAGTTTGTGAGGGCCGGAGAGTGATTATTCGGATGTGAGTTTGCAAAGGCTGGTGAGTGAATGCATGAGGGCCGGTGAGGGAGTGTCTGCGTCTGAGTGTGCTGGTGTTCTGGTGGGTGGGCCTTGTCCTGGCAGGCCGGAGGGCACAGGGAGAGGCCAGCCTGCAGGCCGTCCTGCTGTGAGAGTTGGGAGGTGGCTGGCACGTGAGCCTGGCTTGGGAACCCTCTCCCCAGCCCCGTGCCTCCTGCACGGTGGACTGTGCCAAGGTTCCGTGTCTGTGGGGGCTCCTGGCAGGCAGGAAAGGGTGAGGGGGTGGCTGGAGCAATAGTACAGCGGGTAGGGCGTTTGCCTTGCATGCAGTCGACCTGGGTTCAATCCCCAGCATCCCATATGGTCCCCTGAGCATCGCCAGGAGTAATTCTTGAGTGCAGAGCCAGGAGTAACCCCTGTGCATCGCTGGATGTGACCCAAAAAGAAAAAAAAAAAAGGGTGATGGGCATCCCAGTCCCTCCCGTGTTTGCACTGAATTCCTGTGTTACAGCCCGGGCGCCGCTCACTGCGCTTCCCTCCTCCTGTCTCGGCCCACAGGTCTCCTCCCTGGGCGTCAGCACCTTCAGCCTCTGTGCCCTGGGCATCGACCGCTTCCACGCGGCCACCAGCACCCTGCCCGTGGTGAGGCCCATCGAGCGGTGCCAGTCTATCCTGGCCAAGCTGGCCGTCATCTGGGTGGGCTCCATGACGCTGGCCGTGCCCGAGCTCCTGCTGTGGCAGCTGGCGCGGGAGCCCGCCCCCCCGGGAGGCACGGTGGACTCCTGCGTCATGAAGCCCTCGGCCAGCCTGCCCGAGACCCTCTACTCGCTGGTGATGACCTACCAGAACGCCCGCATGTGGTGGTACTTCGGCTGCTACTTCTGCCTGCCCGTGCTCTTCACGGTCACCTGCCAGCTGGTGACGTGGCGCGTGCGCGGGCCGGTGGGCAGGAAGGCCGAGTGCCGGGCAGGCAGGCACGAGCAGTGCGAGCGGCAGCTGCAGGGCACCGTGGTGGGGCTGACGGTGGTCTACGGCCTGTGCATGCTGCCCGAGAACGTGTGCAACCTGGTGGTGGCCTACCTGGCCCCGGAGCTCACGCGCCACACGCTCGACCTGCTGGGCCTCATCAACCAGTTCTCCACCTTCCTCAAGGGCGCCGTCACGCCGGTGCTGCTGCTCTGTGTGTGCCGCCCGCTGGGCCAGGCCTTCCGGGACTGCTGTTGCTGCTGCTGCGACGGCTGCCCCGCGGGCCCCGATGGCGCCGAGCGCAAGCGCAACGCCGAGATGGCCTCCTCCATCTACTTCCACAAGCCCAGGGAGCCGCCGCTGCTGCCCCTGGGCACGCCGTGCTGAGGACGCCCGCCCGCCCGTGGGGAGGGCCGGGAGCGCCCAGCCTGGCCGCGGGGCCGTCCGTCCGTCCGTCCGTCCGTCCGGAGCTGGGCCCTCGCCCTCCGCGCCTGGGTCCAGGCGGGCTCTCCGCCACCCTGGGCTAGGGGCGGGGACAGGGGGCAACGGTGGGGTTCTCGGAACTGTGCAGACACTTGGTCCCACCGGCCAGGAGCCCGAGCGTCACCCTCGCATGCTGGTCCCTGCCCTTTCCTCCTGCTCTCTGTCTCTCTCGGTCTCTCTCTCCCTGTCTCTCTGTCTCTATTCCTGTCTCTCTTTCTCTCTGTCTCTCTGACTCTCCCTGTCTCTGTCTCTCCCTCTCTGTCTTTCCCTCTCTGTCTCTCCTTCTAACTCTCCCTCTCTGTTTCTATCTCTCTCTCTTTGTCTCTCCCTGTCTCCCTATCTGTGTCTCTCCTTGTCTCTTTCTGTCTCTCTCCCCCTGACTCCCTATTTCTGTCTCTTCCTGTCTGTCTCGCCCTGTCTCTCTCTGTCTCCCTATCTCTGTGTCTCCCTCTGTCTCTGTCTCTCCCTATCTTTGTCTCTTCCTGTTTCTCTCTGTCTCTGTCTCTCCCTGTCTCTCTTTGTCTCTCCCTGTTTCCCTATCTGTGTCTCTCCTTGTCTCTTTCTCTCTCTCCCTGTCTCTGTCTCTCCCTGTCTCCGTCTCTCCCTCTGTTTCTGTCTCTCTGTGTCTCCCTGTCTCTCCGTCTATCTTTGTCTCTCCCTGACTCTCTCTGTCTCCGTTTCTCCCTCTCTGTTTCTGTCTCTCTGTGTCTCTCTCTGTTTCTCCGTCTCTCTCTGTCTCCCCGTCTATGTCTCTCCCTGTCTCTCTGTCTCCGTCTCTCCCTGTGTCTGCCCGTCTGTCTCAGAAGCCACCCCCACCCGAGGGGTGTCTTGCTGGAATGGGGGTGTGCCTTGACGGCTCAGCCTGCTCCTCCTGGTTCGGCATGGTCCCACCCTGGACGCCGGTCCCTGGTGTCCTCTCTTCTGGACCAGGACATTCTTCCTTGGCCGTGCCCCGGGACCCAGGTCCCCCGCCCCTTTGCTAGGTGCTTCCCTATAGAAGTTCTTGTTGAAGAGTAATAAACTAGGTAGACCCGCCTGTGGCCTGTGCTTCCTCCCGCCTCTGCCGGGCAGTGCCCAGTGCTCTGCGGCCTCCCGGGGACCAGGGAGTCCCTGGTCAGTTCCTCCTGCCCATCGCTGCCTCTACCCATGTCCTGCCCAGTCCTTTTTGTTTTTAATCTGCGCCCCACCTGTGGTGCTCGGGGACTATTCATTCCTGGCTGGGCCCCCAGCAGAGGCCCGGGGGACTCGCAGAGTCTGGGATGGAGCCCAGCCTACCGCCTGTGAGCCGGTCCTGGCCTCGGCGTGATCTCCTTCCTGCTGTGGCCTGAGAACTTTTGTATCATGGTGTTTGGGGGCCACACCCAGCAGTGCTCGGGGCTTACTCCTGGCTCTGCGCTCAGGAATCACGCCTGGCAGGGCTCGGGGACCATAAGGGGATGCCGGGGATCAAACTCGGGTCAGCTGCGTGCAAGGCCAGTGTCCTCTCTGCTGGACTATCTTGCCGCCCTCGCCCCCATAACTTTTGGGGGGCTGACAAACGGAGGGCTCAGGGAGCGGAGTCTTCCTCCGGACCTGAGTGCAGCCTTCCTGCACTCAGTCCCAAGGCTGAAACGTCTCTGTTGCTGGAGTCCCCAGCCCTGCTGCCCCCGCCCCCGGCCCTGTGCCCCGCAGGAGAGCAGCGGCGGCTTCCTGCCCCTCCACTCTGAGAGCCGCTCTTGTTCCATTTCTTAGAAGGGACTGTTTTGTCTGCTGAGGCCCCAGCCAGCTGCCTGTCCCCAGCCTGCCCCCGCCCACCCCCACACAGCCGTGTTTCCCCGCTGTCCTCACCCCACACACCCCAGTCCCTCCCACTGGGGCTGCCCGGGGTCCACCCTCGGGCTCCACCTCAGTGCTCAGCCGGCCCTGAGGAGCTGGCCCAAGGTCAAGTGGAGGGGCAGCCTCTGCCTGGGCCTTGGCACTCCTGCCCCCGCAGCCTGCTTTTCCTAGAGCCTCCCCTGTGTCTCCCATCCTCCAGGCTGACTTAGAACGCGAGCGCGCGCGTGCGTGCGCGTGCGTGCGTGTGTGTGTGTGTGTGTGTGTGCGCGCGCGTGTGTGTGTGTGTGTGTGTGTGTCTCAGGAAGGGTCCCCAGCCCAGGAGTGCGAGGGCAGGGTGGCCCCGTGCCCTGGGCTCCATTCTCCTCGGGCCACCCCACCCACCTCCCCTAGCCAGGCCTCCTTCCCCCCTCCTGGGATCTGAGCGGCCTTGTTCTGCTCCCTGGCACCCACCCCTGGGGCCCGAGGGAGGCGTTGCCAGGTGACGGCGCTGCCCTGCGCACTCCGACGGGCCCCCACCCGCTCACAGCAGGCCTGTTGCCACAGAGGCCTCCTCCGTCCGTCAAACTTCAGCTGGCCGCGGGGAGCTGGCTGGGGAGGGGGCCAGGGGCCTGCCAGCTTCCTGCAGGCCCCCACCTTGCGGCCCCCACCGCCAGGGCCTGGAGACACGCCGGGCTTCCGCCGAGATGCAGGATGGGGGCCGGGTGAAGCGAGGTGAAGTCAGGGCCGGAGAGGCTCAGCACCCTCCTCCACAGAGGACACCCCCTGCCTCTAGGGCCCGGCCAGCTGGGAGCAGGGGGCGTGGGTGTCCTGCCTGCTCCGCCTCCGGTGCCCCCAGGCCTGCCAACGTGAAGGGTTTGACAATGAGCAGCCTGCTGGCCTTGGGGTAGAGCCACGGGCTGGAGGGCAGCAGCCGGGGACAATGGGTTGTTGTTGCTTAGGGGTCTCTGGGGAGCAGGGGCTAGTGGGCTGGTGTGGGGCTGGGACACAAGAGGGGTGCTGACATTTGGACTGAGCAGACCAGCCCTGCTGGTGGAGGGGGTTGACGCACTCACTTGGCACTGAGAGGAGCCTCAGCTGATCCTTCCCGGGCAGGAACCTCCTAGCCCCGCCTCAGCACAGCATCGCCTCCGAAATGGGAAGGGCCCTCCCCGCACTGAGACAAGAGGCCCAGGCCCTTGCCTCCCACTGGGCCCAGGGCCCAGATCTCACAGCAAACTTGGGTGTCCCGCTTTTCACCCAGGCTTGGACCAGTGAAGGGGCTGGAGCTTACAGTCAGACACAGGGACTTACACCTCTGTCTGATGAACCATTACCCAAGTCCCTTTTTAAAAAAAAATTTTTTTTCATTTGGCGGGGGGCAACACTCAATGATGCACAGGAATTACTCCTGAGTCTGCAATCAGGGGTTACTCCTGGCAGGCTCAGGGGACCATATGGTGTGCTGGCGATCAAACCTGGATCATTTGCACGGAAGACAAATGTCCTACCCATCTTGCTCTGTCCCCATTTTACCAGCTTCTTCAGGCTGCACTTGGTACCTACTGTGTGCACAGCTGCAGGGTGCATCCAGTACCTGCGTGTACAGCTGCCGGCTGCATTCAGTTCCTTGTGTAGAGCTGCAGGGTGCATCCAGGACCTGCGTGCACAGCTGCAGGCTGCCTTCAGTCCCTTGTGCACAGCTGCAGGCTGCCTTCAGTCCCTTGTGCACAGCTGCAGGCTGCCTTCAGTCCCTTTTATGGGCAGCATACAGCTTGCTTTTGGTATCCGCTCTTGTTCAGTTTAAAAAGTCACCCACTGGACAGTGCTCAGCACAGGACCAAGAGCTCTGCATGCTGGAGGCAGGGGGATTAGCCCAGAAACCTCACTGCCCTGCTCCCCAAACGCCAGGGCTTGTTTTGCTGGTGGCGACAAAGGGGTTCTGGGCCGTTCTGGGTGGTGCAGGAATGGGAGCCGGCTCCTGCTCGCACTCCAGCCTCTGAGCCATCTCCCGGCCTTGAGGGAAGCTCCTTTTCCTGAGGAGCCGCAACACCCTATTGGTGCTCACTGGCTCAAGCCCGGCTCCACACTCTGCTGGTGAGGACTCCCCCCTCCCCACCCCGCCCCCACGGGGTTTCTCTGACGTCTGACAAAGGTAAGGGGCTGCCAGGCCCCGGCACCCCACTCCCAGCAGGGAGGGTCCCCACTGCTGAGGCAGGGGAGAGTGGACGGCGTGCTCTGCTCCACTTTGCAAGGAGAAGCGGGGAGGGCGGAGCGGGGCTCCTGAGAAACTGGGTCAAGATGGACGGAAAGGGAACAGGCCCAGCAGGGCCTCAGATCTCAGAGGCTGCAGCCGGGATGGGATGTGGTGTGTGTGCGTGTTGTGTGTGTGGCTTGTGGCATGTGTGTGGTATATGTGGTGTGTGGTATGTATGTTTGTGTGGTGTGCGTGGTGTATGTACATGTGTAGTGTGTGTGGTATACGCGGCGTGTGATGTTTGTGTGTGTGTGTGGGGGGCGGGGCTCTGGAAGCTGGAGTGGGGCTGGGGGAGGCTCGGCCCCTCTCGGGAAACCCTAGCAGGACAGCAGGAGGGCAGCCCGGGGCCCCAAACCAGCACTCTTGGGCCCCTGGAAGCGGCGAAGGAAACAGGCCGGCCCCAATCCACATGGGGTCAGTCCTTCCACCGGCCACGCCTGCCCAAGCCCCGGTGAGTCCAAAGCTGGGCCCGCGACCGTGGGAGAAGAGGCGGCGCAGAAGCCGGCCTGTGAGGTGCCATTGTGCCCCGCGCGTGGGCGGGGGCGTCTGCCCGTCATTCCGGCCGCCTCCAGAAACATCATGGCCACCATACAGCCCCCAACACAAAATCAGTCGTTTATTCTCGTTAGGAGGCAAAAAAATGTACAGTTACAAGAATCGTTCTCCAAACAGAGGTTACGTATGGGCCGAAACGTGTAAAAAAAGGAAGAGGAACGTCACTTTACAAATCATTAAATTAAACAAACCAACAAACAAACAAACGAAACTCAAAGAACCACCCCGTGCTGAGTGCTCTCCGGTGCCACTCTGCAGAATGAGAACAGAAAACGGGGTGGGCCAGGCCCGGGGGCCCCTGGAGGGGT